AATTAATAATAAATTTTAATTTATAGACATATATATATATANTATTTGTGTGTGTGTGTGTGTGTGTATATATAATCTACTAGTTACAAGCAAAACTATGTTTTGTTACTTTTTTTTAATTATAAAAATCAGTCTGATGGTTACTAAAAAAGTCGGTTGGATAATCGGGATAATATTTGTACTAAAATATTAATTTGAAACAATTTTTTTTTCATTCATATTAAAAATTTTATCACTAATTGATTTTGTAAATGAAAGAAATTTCTAGAATGAATAACTGTATTTCTCTAAGATCTAAATAAGAGCACATTTTAAAAATTGTTTTAAAGTAAGCCGTGTTGGGAAGATCTTGCCCTTAACACAGAAAAAAAACATAGGTGTTTCATGCTGTATTTCATAACAATAAATTATTAAAATTTAAAAAATAATATATTTTACTTATTTCGACCGAAATTAATACTAAATAATGATAAAAATGTGAAAAATATGTTTAATAAAGATTCTGCGTTATTAAGCATCTAAAAAGAATATTCCCAAATTTCTCTTCATTTTCTTGAATGGCTTTTCAAAATGAATGTCTTTTTTATCATCACAGCTCATTTTTTAGAAGTCTTGTTTTTATTTATAGGATATATTTAACAAATGACATGAAATAAAGTGAAATGATGTTCATAATAAAAAATAAATAAATACGTTTTCCATTTAATCTTTTTTCGTATAATATTCCTCACTTAAACTGCAGAAAATGATAACTCAGAAGAAAAAAATGTCGCGATAGCGGAATAATTTTAACCTCATTAAATAAACATTTTTGCATCTTTACCATTACTATTTTAATGATGATTTGGAGAGTTGTCGTAATAGCGGACTTTTGGTATTATACCGTACTCGTTATACCGAGCTTTTGCTGTATTTGCAAAATTTATCTTAAATAACAGTGAGTTGAATAAAGTACCAATTTTTATTTTATTGAAAATAAAGTATTTTTCTTAGTAGGTTGTTACCTTTAGGTAAAAAATTTAAAATTTCATAAAAAGAGCGAATACAGGATGCTTTATTTAAAAGATTTTGTTAAGTAGTGAAATTAAAACTTGCAGAGTTTAGTTAATTTGGCCATCACTTAAAAAGGTTTCTGTATCAGATAACTGTAATTTCATATAACGTCTGAATTATTTATATTAATTGCTCGGCAAAATAACTTAAAATCAAATTTTATAAACCAAAAATCATTTATTAAAATGTTGGCATCTCTGCCTTGATTAAAAAAAGAACTCGATTCTTCCATTTTTGGTATTATCTAAGAGAAAACATTCAACTAACGCCCTTTCACGCCTTCATTCTTTTGCATTAATTTAGGTCAAAATAAGTTTATTTATTTTAAGTCAAAAAGATTATATTTAGCATTTTAATAATTTATGGTTAGGAATTACTCGTACAGCATGAAATATCGGTATAAAATCTTCCAAACTCGGCTCACTTCTAAGCAATAATTTTTGAAAATTGCACTTATTTAAAGCTAAGAGAAACAGTTATTCGTCATTGAAATTTCTTTAATTAACGAAATCAATATTATTGATGAAATTTTGAATATAAATGAAAAACAAAATGTTTTTTACAAACTACTTTGTTTGGATTTTATATTTTAGTACATAATTCCTGTAATATAACAGATTTCTTTTAGTAACTAATAAACCGTTTTTTTTAATAATTGAAAAATACCAAAACATATTTTTGCTTGTAATTAGAGAGTAAAAAAACATTTGTAAAAGGGACAGTAACTTAGGATTATTGGAATTTTACTTTGCTGGATAAGTTACTAAATCTAACTACGCTAAATATATGGACATTTGTAAGATGTGAAAGTCTAATCAATGCATTATCTTTTCTGAAAATAAAATGATCACAAAATAATTTTACCACCACATTTTATTTATTTGAAACAAATGAAGAATCGCAAACGACACGATTGGATTACTGCGATGTTTCTATTATATTGATAAATAACAGTAACCGTCATCATTGCAAAAAAAAAAAAATTTATCTCATATCCTCTGAATAAAATTCTATTTCATCCCTTTTATCAGTGCCGTACCTTAGTTATTCTCCTGATAATATATTTGATCTCAAACTGATCTAGAACTTTTCTGTGCCTCTTTGGAATATCAAGATGATGTCCCAGAAGAATTGTATCCTATCTGCAGCTCTCTTCATTAAGATATCCAAATTGCATTTTCTCCCCTGCATTGTTAAACACAATGATTGATGAGTTTGTACCCCTTGTCAACTTGAGCCCCTTCAATATTCATTACTATTTAACTCTTTGCTTCCCTCCTAATGACATTCATTTCTGTCATTTTTATTTTTTAGAAGGGGTGATCTTTCATTCGATTTTCTGAACCCACTATACTTCTATGTACATCAATTAAAATTTGTTTTATTCTTTTTTTCAGTTTTGCCATTTCACTCCTGATAAACTCATATATTTATATTAAAAATGGGTTCGGTTAATGATATATATAAATGAATAACTCATTAGAGCGAAATTAGTACACATTTTTTTTTTGCAAAATCGATTGTTTATTCATCAAGCTCAGTTAATTACTTTATGTTGGCTAATGTTTTTTTTTCTTCCAATTTTTTTTAATCGTTTGATTTGCTACTTCTTAGTTTTATGGTAAGCAAATAAAAAAATAGGGTTTGAAAAGTAATAAAAATTTATTTTTATTAACTTTTCAGCACTTACACAAAATTTAATAAATTTTAAATCATTAAATTTTTAGCTTGTTAGTGCTTTTTTCTCCTTTAGCACATTAAAGTCTAGTATACCTTTTTAGAGATGATTGTGAAATTGCATCGAAAAATCAAAGAAATTATTTTTAAGTAATCATTTCTTATAAATCGTATAAAAGACACACGCATCAAGGGAAGTAATCATTTCCTTCAATTTATAAATGACAGCGTGTATCAAGCGAATTATTTTTAAATATAAATTTCATTTACATCGTCTAAAAGACAAAGCGCATCAAGTGAATTATTTTTAAGTAATCATTTATTTGATTTATAAATGACAGAGTGTATCAAGCGAATTATTTTCAAATATTCATATATAGTTGGAATGATAGTTTAGCACGAATAGTGACGACAAAAGATGGAGATAGCAAAAAGCAACATACTGAGTTTCATTCTTACATTCTGTTTTTTGCTTATTATTCTATTCTATGCTATGCTATACTATTCTATGTATGAAGCGAATTATTTTCAAGTATTCATATGTAGTTGGAATAATATTTTAGCACAAATAGTGGTGGCAAAAGAGAAAGATGCAACATACTGTGTTTTCTTTCCCTTTGCTTTCAGTGAGAGTAGAGCAGATCCGCTGTCGCGTCCTAACATATAAAACATACTCTTCTCTTATCTCTTTTTAACGGTGCCACCTATTTTCCTGTTAAAATATCTTTCCAATTTCATTCTATGTTTTATAATTTGAACATCACGCTTTGATTTTTTTTTATTAAGAAGGTGTTGCCAATCAAGAATTTTGAACACTCTAATCGTAACTTGGAGATATTTATTGTTCTAAATCAGGGGTTTCCAACTTACATGATGCCGGGGGCCGCAATTAAAAACACCAGTCAAATCGCGGGACGCATTTTTATCAAAATTTTTTCTAGTACTCTTTTATGTTTGAAGGAACATTAAATATTACTGTCCGATTTTTATCAAGTTGTACAAGACAAACGCATTGGATTAGAAATTAAAATTAGAAGTAAATTTTTAAGCAACATACACGATTATTTTTGTATTTGAATAAATATTTTCTTGGATGCAAAACCTGAGAAATAAATTTTTTTGCTCCATTGGTAAGTTAAACTGCACAGAAACGAAGAAATGAGGTTTTTTTTTAACGAAAGAAAAGTATTTTAAACCCATATAGATTTTTCACGAAAATTGTCTGCAAAAAATGACAACTAATATATAAATTGTCTGCAAAAAATGACAACTAATATAGTTCCAGGGCCACACACACACACAAAAAAAAAAAGGCTTCGCAGGCCGTCAGTTGGTAACCACCGTTCTAAATCATCTCGATCTCAAGCGTAAGATTTTAAAAAAAATTTATGAGCATTCCGTATATTAGGTCATATTTTAAATAAATAAGTGTATAGTTACTATCATTGTAAGTTATAAAGCATTAAAAATAGGGTAAAAAAGAAAATAATCTCCGGGATATAGTGAATGAAATGTTCGCTTTTGTGTTTTAATATAGACGTATAATGCTAATTTTGGTGGATATAATGAACCAACAAAAGAGAGGAAGTTGGATATTATGAATTATCGACTGATTTATTTTCTTCATTTTTTGTAATAATTTTGAAATTTCTACTTAAAAATAAATACATATACGATTTTTAAAACCATGTATAGCGTGAAATGTAGCAATAAGCATTTATCTTGTTTGCTTCATTATTTAATGGCACTATTGAATTGGTTCAGCATTCAAAGAAGCCGCAATCTTCCAGTATCTGGATAAATGCTTCAAGTCAAAACAGATGAAATTGCTAAGCAATTTGGTGAGACTACTTTCATCTACTCGAATGGCTGACTAGACGGGTTTGAAAAACGAAATAAGAAATTCAGGAAAAATTATCAGAGAATCGGGAAATGTTTCCATATATGATGTTGAGGATTGCTCATCAACTAAGGATTACTATTTTTTATTTTTTGTACGCAAGACGAAGAGTAATAAAAAATAAAAGTTAACATATTTTTTGTTACTAAGAATTATGTTTCAGTCCTTTTTGTATTTTATTGTATTGGTCATTGATTTAAATAGTGTGTAATAAAAGGGGTGAGTTTGGAACTATTAGTTAAAATCGCTTGTGAAATTGATATAGTGAAGTCCCGGTTATAGTGAACCGAAATTGTGGTCCCTTGAAGGTTCACTATAATTTGACTGTAATTTTAATTAGTGTATAAATTTTTTAATTAATTCATTTTTATATCTAACATTTAAATTTTTATGTTTAGATCAGCGGCAGAAGTCAAAAGATCGATCAAGTAATTGCTGCTCAGCTAGTTGCTGCATCCTATAATGAGAAGATAAGTCTGAAAGTTGGATGGTTAAATAAGTCAAATGAATTAAAGTCACAATATGTCCCATTGTAGTAAATAAAAAAAAAGTGTAGATTTCTTCTTTCATTCCACGTGAAAAAGAACTATGTAAACAATATTGACACAGTCATAAACTTCTAATGACTGAAATGGTCAAAGAACTTGTAGAAGTAGAAATGTTTGTTATATAAATGCAGCTGTCACTAAAATTCTTGCAAATGTGATGGTGCAGACATCATATAAGCCCTTGCAAAAGGGCATATCCTCCTCAGTTAGATGACACTGACGAAGTTGAAGTTCTTTTACATTGTTCATCCATGTTCGATTTGCAATCTTTTGAGTTTTACATATCATTCATTGTTCCTGTGTTTATTTCAAAGTTGATGAAGTGCTGCTCTTTTAAGATGTGCTTCAAGTTTCAGTCTTCATTTAGAAAGTCAAGAGGTTTTTGTTTTCCAAATGTGCGTGATTGTTTTTTTGTTTTGTTAAATCGCATAATTAATCATTTTATTTAGTGAGTTTTCATTGGTATTTCTCGTCTTTGGCAAGATTTAAAGAAATTCGGATCGTGACATACATAAAACTAAGTATTATTAAGGAAAAGTGATAAAAACAATGGTTCAAGTATAAATTACGTTCTACTTAGTGTTTGAATAAAAGAATGAAAGTGTTATTTTTTGCTGTGCACAATATATTTATCTCATTACAGCATGATTATGCCAGCTGTCAGTTAAAAACTCATAACTTGATGTAGTTCATCGTGCTCATATGTAATAGAAATATTTTTCTGTTCGGCAAAAGTGTTCTCTGCAGGCCATCAAGCCTTTTATGTTCCTCCGCATTGAACATGATATTTCTAGTGTTCAACGTCTATGTATTGGTTAGGAAGTCATTTATTTCAAATAAACTGTCATTAACTTGTAATGAAACTTAAAAAAAAGAAACATTATAAAAAAAAGAACTATTTACTAATAATAAAAAGAAAAAAAATTGTGAATGTGATAATAAAAATAAAAACCAGTGTTAAAATTAACACAAAATTACTTCAGTAGTTGAAATTGCATACATGTTTCAATACTACACTAAAGCATCATCTTCAGTAGTGAAATTTGCATATACAAGTTTTGTTGCTACACTGGAGCATCATCTTCAATATTTGAAATTGCTTATAATTTTTAATGCTACACTGGAATATTATCTTCAGTTTTTTTTAATTGTATACAAGTTTCAGTGTTACAATGGCTCATTATTTTGAATGCAAAAATATAGAAAAATAACGATAAAAAATATTAAAAATAAGTAATGTCAGATAAATAAATCTTATAACTGAATCAGCCGATTAAAAAGTGGGCTCAAAAATAGTTCCATCTACTGAATCAAGGAAAAGGTGAAAAACGAAAAAAAAAAATAATAATAATGAAAGAAAAAAATATTAAGATTTAAAACTATATTCTTAATTACTGTTCTTATTTTAATAACTATTGGCATACCCATCTTTTCAAGCCTCACTTTGTTTATGAGGAAGGCGGATTTTGTTTTAATTAGTAAGTGTTTGTCATTATATAGATTTTAAAACGAATGATTGACTGTTTTGATCCAATCCCCATACAGTGTTTGGCGTTACTTACAAAATCTCACATTCAACTTGATTATACCGAACCGACAGCCATCTATTGATATAATACGCTATCCATCTGTATAAAAGCCTTCATACACAATATATTTTAAGTTTTATCTATTTTTAGTCACCATTTTTTTTTGTATTTTTATACAAAAGAGGATTATGCAATCTAGCAACGAAACATGTATGCAACTTTATCTTCTGAAATATATATAGGTATATATATATGTTGTGAATTCGAACATTGTCTTTTATCCAAATTATGGTTCACTGTACAAATTAACGCATGATTGTTAAAAAATATACTTTCACTATTCATTATTATTATACACTTGTGTCATATTAGAAAATGTTTTTCCAGATTCGCTGATCATATGATTTGGTGTGAAAATTTATATATGTAATGTCATTAGTACATAATATTTTTACCTATTACATATTATAATGCATTTTTTTTTCTTTTATAATAATTAACAATGCATATTTGAATAACAGATATTTAGCTAAAATGCCAATCAGGCATTATGTTCTTTCATCAGAATCTCATTTTGAACTAGAATACTATTTTCAAAATATAGATGTGTTAGCATTGTATACAAATTTGTTAATTTAAAGGCTATATTTGTCAATTGTAAATATAGTGGCTTACTGTTATTGCATGTTTAATAGAGAATAGGTTTATAGAATTTAATTTTTTAATATACTTAAGCAATTGGTTAAAAATAATAAGATTGAATTCCATTATCAAACCATTATATATTGCATATGCTCTTTAATTGTTTCACTTTTTTATATTTGGTTAAATAAATTCTTTTTGGGGGTTTAATAATTTAAAAAAAGTTTGACATATAATAGTTATTTTATACATATTATTAGATAGTTATTTGCGTATTTGAATTAAATAGTAAATTTTCCACTCACATTGTGTTTTTTAAGTCACATTTTTTAAATTTTTTTCTTATGAACAGAAAAAATATAAATTATTTATATGAAAAAATTAATATCAAGAATCCCATCTGAGAATAGAATAAATTTATATTCTTTTACTTAAATATTTTATTCTTTGAAAAACGATTTTATATCAACATTTTATATGTGCCTAAAATCATGCAAAAAGTTTGGCTAGCAATCAAAAATAATCATAATGAATTTTAAATTTACTGTGGAAAAAATTATGTAAAACTATTATTGTATGAATTTTAAGGACTAAAATTTCTTTTATTAAAAATTGAAGTTCTTAGTTAATAATATACGTTTCAGAAATATTTAAATCTCTCCATGAAGGCATTTTTTCATCTATTTCTCATGATGAAATTCTTTTAAAATTTCTAACGTTTTTGAAAAAGCATCAAAGTTTATGTCGTGTCATAAAATTTAATTGAATCTAAAGTAAAGAAATTTGCATTTTTAGAAAGAAACAAAATAAAGAACCTGAAGCATAAGGAAGTATGCATTAAATTTGCTATTATCTAGAAGAAGAAAAAAAATCAAAATCGATAATTATAGTGTTCTTAAAAAGTTCACCCACAAAGGAAAATAACACAGTTTAAGTACCTTAAACTTGAAGTGAAGCTTTCATTTTTAACTGATATATCTATATCATACTACCCCAGATAGCAGTGTAAGATTAATTTTAATGTCAGCATCAACCTTTATCACAGAACCCAACAAGATTTATTTATAAATGATTAGCAAATAAACCATGCAAACTTGAAACAATGTTAAATTTAACTATCCTAGTTTACACGTAATATGGCTCGCATTAAGCTTGAATAAACAACACTTTTATAAAGAGATGAGATTGAATCTGCCATTACAATACAAGGCTAGAAAAACCTTCTGAAATCGGGGATGAATCATGATTTGTAAATCAAGAGTAGAAAGCGTTTTCAAACAGAAGATAAATGTACCTTCTTAAAAAATTTTTTAGAGTTTTATGACCATCAAAGAAACAAGGTTTATTTGTGCAGACTTTTATAAACATTCTTTACACTATAGAAGTGAAAGTTGGCTGGACCATTACGTCACAAACAAAATGTTGCATTTGTGAGCCTGGACAAAGTTAGAATGAAAAAAAGCAGAAACAAGGTTTACAATAAAAATCCTACTTTTCTCTGCTAATAAAATAAAAACGAAAATACGTCGTTGCCTGCTATCTGGGATATATATCTTGCTGAAGGGAAATATCTATACTTTAATGCTAATTACTTAAATTTTGACTCTTGATACAAATATTTCTTTTTTTTTCTTTTGTTTATTATTAGTAAAAATATGGATTTTATAAGAATATCCTTCAAAAATTTTTAGTATTGCAAACAAGCCAGTTGAAATTATAAATCTACATTCGTCCAATTGAAAAGCAAATATTATTCCCTTATATAGTATTATCAGATGTTAGATTATGTACAAAAGTGTTCATAAAAAATTAGAAATGAAATTATCAAACTTTGCATAATCTCCGCCCTTCAAATATGATTGTATATAAAATTTTGTATTCTTTATTACATTTTTGAGGGTATAAGAAATAATGTATTTGCTAAGGCTTAGATTTATGGAGTACCAAAAATGCTGTAGTATATATGTTACCGGCAAAGTTTGAAATCCGGCATTGTATATAATGCCTAAAATTAGCCGGCAACAAACGATTTCCAAATTTCCTAGGCATTCTATAGAATGCCAAATGGAAAACCGACAAAGTATGAAAAACATATTTGATTCGTTTCGAATTTAATGAAATGTCATTCAATTCTACCATATTGCAACAAGTAAGTTAATTTCTTATATTTTGTATGAAAATTTTGTTTCCTAAATAAGCAAGAATTTTGTTTTGTACAATTTTAATTTTCCTTAACATATTAATGAATAATTTTTTTTAATGATACTCTCTCTATTTTTTTAGAAACCACATTTATATTTTTGAAAAAGCAATTCATTTATATACTTCGCCTAAATAAAATTTGTCATTCTATAGAATGCGTAGATATTATATACAATGCCTAGGTAATGTATGTAATAACTCTCATATTTCATACTTTGTCTAAAAACATTCGGCATTATGTACAATGCTTTGTCATTCTATAAAATGCCAGTGTTTCATACTTTGCCGGAAATATAAAATGATATAAAAGAAATTGCGTGTGACGATAGTGTGTATGATATTAGGTCCTAGTCTTCCTCGTTTGAATTTGTGTTTCAAATTTATTTGCTTGATTATTTGATACAATATATCTTAATTTACATTATTATAAAATTGTTTTTATTGTTCTAGAATTTAAATTATTTATCATTATTGTACTATTTAAATTGGATACCTCGAATGTCATTTATTTTAATAATAGGAATTGCAGGGAGTCCTAAATTAAAATGAGGGTTTTCCAAAAAAATTTATAACAATGAAACAGATAAGGTGTGCATATATATATATATATATATATATATATATATTCGTACAAAAAATTTATCAGAGAAAGTATAAATGTTTTTTTTAAAAGTTCTTGCTTTTAGTTCAAAAATTTTCCATTATATAGCGCTCTAACTCCTTTTTAGCGTTGTTCTGTACCGTTATGATGTAAAAAAATTTCTTACTCAGAATACAATATTTGATGATGAACATTTTGAAAAATAGTAATGTGATTTTCAGTCATTTTTTCTTGATTTCCCGCATCGCCATCCTTTGAAACATTTTTGACAATAAACAAGGTTTTTGAGAGGAATAGGTCATGCCTTGTCACATGGGTTTACCGAAAAAAAATATTTTCCAAATTTATTTCCTGCAATATTTTTATTAAAAACCGTCAATCTAGTTTAGGACACGTACTTGCATTTTAATTATGTGTTCCAGAATGAGATATGCGTAAAGACATTTTTAGTATTAGAATATATAAGATTAAAAAAAAAAATTAAAAAAACTAGAAATTTTTATAATATGAATTCAATTTTACACTAAACAGAATATTACACAAATTTTTGTTAGTGGTTTAGTTTCGTTGCGAAGTAATGTAATTATCCAATTTATAAATTTATTTTATTCTATTAATTACTGTTTGTTAAATAGACGTTAAACTACGAAATATTGTTGCAAATTGCATTGCTTTTGTTGTGCATGAGGCTTTTGACATCATGATGTTTTGGTGCAATAAAAAATGCTATTTCATTTTGTTGTGCTAAATTTTATTTTCAATGTTGCTTATTTATCGCCTAACATAGTTTTTTTAAACTTAATAGAATTTTTTTTAAACATTTCATAGAAATAAAAAGTAAAATATTGATATTTTTCGGTGATATATTTTTTTAAAGAGATTTATTTGAGACTTACTTACTTCCACACATTTTTTCTATGATCTTTTATAATAAATTAACGTTCTTTAAGATAATCAGCTAGTTCCCCAAGCATTTTATTTAGGTCGCACTAGAGCTGCACAATGGTCTATTTCTATTTACATAATCAGTGTTGAACAGCCGAACCAATTTTGAGTTTACAACAACTAATGTTCAACTCCGTAGCCTTGTAATTTCGAATCCAACCCAGAAAACAAGGGAACTCCTGGATCAAGTATTAACAAATTAGCCTTAGTGGAAGACTTTTTAAAGGAATTACTCTGCATTTTCGTTAAATGGAGGAAAACCACATAAACCTCCCACGTTAAATAGACGGAAAGGGGATCCTAACCTATTATCTGTCTACCAAGGATACTTTACGTCATCACTGTGGTCGTTATGAGCTGGTAGCAGAATTCGTATTGACCAGCCATTTCTGGGGTTCAATCCCGGGTCAATTCATTGGGAGCTAGAGCTCTATTCCCTGAGTTCCCCGGCTCGCAAAATGGACTATTGGCGATGATTTACTTTTCCGAAAACCTGCGCACAATGTCGACACTTTACGGTTAGCTGACACCAATACGGCACACCCTCGCAAGCTGATCAAAGTAGTCATACACCCGCACACTGCGATTTCATAATCTACTGGGACCTGAAGCGAAATGAATGGTTTGAAGAATAAACACATTAAATAATTACTATTTACATTTATTTACAATTTATACATAACTCGTTAAGTTTAAATGCGGCATCAAATATTTAGGAAGCAAATACGCAAATATAAAATAATAGAACAATATTGAAATGCAATTCTAATATGTAAGGATTAAAGTTGAAGTAAAAACATACTTAGAGTTCATAAATAATAAAAACAATTTATGCAGATTATGCGTTTGACGTCACGTCGCTTTATTACTTCCCTTCCAGTGAGAACCTCATTCGAACGAATCGAGAAATTTAGATGGAACTTGAATAGATCTCCCAACACGTGATGTCTTGTTAGAAAAATCCTTCTTAAGCTGTTCGTCAGCAAACTTAACCTTTTTCTTCTTAACGTTTGAAGCAGCCATTTTTGGATTGGCTGAAGGTACGCCGACTGTAGGCATTGAACTGAAAGAAGAGGAGTTGTTCTTCAAGTCTGCAGATTGTTCTATGACGCATGGTTTCAAACGATTAATGGAGATGTTTCAGGATTTTCCATTTATCGATAGTGTTAAGTAATCCTTATTTCTGAAAAGAACTACAAAAGGTCCTTCATATGGAGGTTGAAGTAGTGGACGAACGGAGTCAGTTTGTACGAATGTATGTGAAGTTGTGTCAAGATTTTTCGTCACAAAAATGGGAGATTTACCATGCCGTGGAGGTGGAGCAGGCCTAACTTGCGAGAAATATTTCCGTAGTTAACCAGCAAAAGTAGAAACGTCCGTAGATACTTGTGTTTCATGAAGAAAATCACTAGGTAATCTTATATTTGAACCATAAAATAATTCCGATGGAGTTGTTTGGAATTCTTCTCTGAATGTTGAGCGTAAGCACAGTAGATAGACATTTCGTCCACTGAGGATTATTATGGCACATGATGCTATTTTTCAGAGTTCGATGCCATTGCTCTATAAACCCATTGCAAACAGGATTGAAAGATGTGGTTCGCCTTCGCTTGATTCCTAAGAGATGGGCAAGTTCGGTGAAAAGAGACGACTCGAACTGACTTCCTTGATCTGTAATTATTACTGACGATGTTCCAAAGCGAGAAATCCAACCACTATAAATTGCTTCTGCAACGGTGCAAGCTTTAATATCCGGCACCGGTATGGCTTCTGGCCAGCGAGTAAACCGGTCTATTAGAGTTACACAATATATTTGTCCTTCGGAAGTTATCAAAGGTCCAATTACGTCCAGATGAATTTCGTCGAATCTTTTTGAAGTTGGTACACACTCCGGTTTATGCACACGTCGCAGTATCTTGGATCTTTGACAATATACAGTTTTTAGTGAATTTTTTGACATCCTTGTTCATTGAAGGCCATACAAACTTTTTTGTCACTAGATGTGCTGTAGCTCGAGCACCTGGATTAACGAAAATATTACTTTTCGAAAACTCTTTGTGACAAAAGGCCGTGGTTTTCCTGTAGAAATATAACAATATATTTCTTTATCGGTTCCGAAAATAGGTAATTTTTCAAACTTTAGATTAGTGTTTGATTTCATAAGATTTTTGAGCTCTTCATCAGTTTCTTTCTCCTTGGCTAGTGCACTAAAATCAATCGTTTCCGAAAAGACAACTTCTTCAACTCTTGATAGTGCATCAGCTACTTCATTATCTACACCAGAAATGTGCTGTATATCAGTTGTAAATTGACTGATAAAATCTAGATGCCTCATTTGTCACGGTGATGCTTTATCACTTTTCTGCAGAAATGCGTAAATTAGAGGTCGGTGGTCAGCGTAAATAGTAAAATTGTGTCAATCATGTATTCAAATTCTTTTCGTGCAATTTTTAATCTATCGGGTGCCAAACGTATAGGTTTTGAAAAAAACTGGTGGACCAGTAGTTATAATATGATGAGTGACGCCATGCTTGAGCTCTTTGACCGTCGAATGTTCTACAGTTATATCTATGAATTCATTCTACAGTTTGTAAATTCTAGGATCACTAGTTTTAGACGACACGGTAGTCAAATTAGTTGACGGAACATTGACAAGTCAACCAAAGGATTTTAAAGTAGTAGGATCTATTATTTTTCTTTTTTTAATATTAACTAAAAGCCCGTATTCTTTAAGAAAATCAGCACCTATTATTGCCTTAGAAACATCGGCAACAATAATGGTCCAACAAAATTTTCTTCTTAAGCCCAGATCAAGGAAAAGTCACTGTGTCCCAAACGTGTGCACTTGCGAAGCGTTAGCAGCATACAAGTAAAATTTTGGACCAGGAATTATTTTCTGTTTTGAAGAATCGGGTAAAACAGATACATCAGCTCCATTATAGATAAGAAATTTCGTTTACTAGAGTGATCATAGATAAAAAGGCGACTTGAATTCTGGCTACCATTGCCGCCAATGACTGCCTAATTAGTTTTCCGATTTTTCGAAATCAGCAACAAATGAACAGGGTTTAGTGCATCCGGTTGACTTTTTACCAAAACGATGATGGTACCAACAGATACCTTCTCTAGATTTTGATCAGTTCCTATAATTGGAGCTCTGGCGAATGACTCTTATTTCT